GTCACCTCACCTCGTCTCATTCCCCCTCCTCCTCCTTCATCTCCGCTACCCTTCTCTGTCTTGGACTACGCCGATTATTTCCTTTATTTCACTTCGCATTGAATTGCAGAGCCTCCACAGTGTCCACACGTACGGAGCGCAGGTCGGCGTGCACTGTGAGAATGGAGCTCCTCATGAGGTTGCCTTGCGTGATGGTATCGTATTATCCGCACTTTTTTCCGCGCGCCGGGAGGTCGAGGGTTTCGCGATCTCAGCGGGGATGGTGAGCGCTTCGCTTGTGCGCCTAGAAGGCACCAATTCTGTCACGGTCGGGCGCATTGTTTTGTTCTGTCCTTTGGAGCGGCGGCGCGCATCGCGCCCAGTCCCCAATTTCGCTCGGCGTCACGGGAACCTACAAGGTCTTGTGGTGCCGTCGGCGTAGTGGTGGCGATGATACTGCGGCGTTGAGCGTGCCCCGTATCCCGGGCTGAATCTGCGCGGGTTGGAACGCGGTGGCGGCGCGGGCTCACGCACTTGCTTCAGTAGCATGTTATTTGCCGCCTATGCTTGCTTGTGGGCGGGTTTACCGTCACCCTCACCCATCGCCTTCCACCACATTTATCCTAAATGTGCTTTATTTCCCAGAGGCCTGCAAATTGTCAATATATTTGTAAAGCAGTGGTTCTGTAAGTGCAAGAATAGCGGTTGGGCTGCAGAAGCTTTGGTTTACACAAAAGTACATAGATTCAAGCGGCGTTTATCGAGATATATGGATTATTTACTGTCTGTCATTGCGAGAATATTAAGATCATCTCGGGGCATCCGCCAGGCCTGCCCACGGAGAAAAGTCAAACGTCGAAGACGGAGTGTAGATAAGTTCGAGATGCAGCCCATTCTGCACGAGTGGCTCGAGTTCCGGACGGATGTCGCGCTCTATATCCCCGTCTATGCGGATTGCGAGACGTTTCAGCCTCCGGGATTTGACGAAACGCAAGATCGCCTCGTCGGAAAAAGAACAGCAACAGCTTACTTCCAGCACTTCCAAGCCCGGGCAAGACGGGGTAGGACAGCTAGGAGATATAATAAGCAGTTCCAAAATCTCGTCATCGAAAATCCTGGAGCCTTCGTCGAGCCCACCGAGCGAGCTGATTTTGATTTCCAGAATCGTTGCCGGTAGTCCACGAAAAAAGTCAGCAAAAGCTGTCTTTGCATCTAAAAACAGCTCAATGTTGATGTCGAGGATCTCGATGTGCGAGGCAGTGGCGAGCAAGTCGGCGTAGGGGATGGTGTCCGTATCATGCGGAATTCCGCGAAGCCTGAGGTGCCGCAATTGTGGGAATCGGACCCGGCCAGTGAACAGCTGGCGAATGGTAGTTGAAAAATAGCCAAAAAATTGTACGTCCAATGTATGAAGAAGAGAGAGCTCAATATTGGGCTCTCTGACTCCACTGTGTTCGTCAGGATCGGTATCGTGGACGAGCAGCCGGCAGGCCCGCAATTGAGGACACCGGGAGAAAAGCTGCAGTGAGATAACACTTGTGAGGTGGCCTCCTTCAGGTCGCCATAGGGAAAACATCGAAAGCTCTGTCAAGTGGTCCCAGCGAAGCCGTAATTCAAGGGGGGCGAAACTCGCTCCCTCAATAGAAAAGGAGGAGATTTCAGGGCCATGAAGGAAGTCTAACGACTCCCATCGCGCGGGGATGTCTGTAGAGTCGTGAATCTCGCGGATGCTGATTGACTTGAGTATCGGCACATCCGCCTCTGTAAGGTGTTGTAGAGCTGAAGGGACAGTGGCGACGGTGATGTGCTGCCAACAGGATGCAAATGGGAGTAGGGTCTGGGTGACCAGATTTTCGGTGGCCGAAGTGCGGCCTGGAGGGTGAAACGGGGATTGCAGCGATATGGACAGTGGGCACTGGCCGGAGCGACCTAGCCATATCTTGGTCGTCTCGGCTCGCTGTGCCAGTTTCTTCTCGAGTGGCCCAAGGGCAGAGCCATGAGACCGACTGGGCTCCACGATATGCAGCCTGGACCACAGCCGGGGTGTCGAGAGCGAAATTCCTCTCCAGGAGCTGCAAATGCGCCCTAGGAGAACCGGTGCTTCCAAGGCGCTCATGACGCAATTTCGGTGCGTCGGAATGCAGGCTATGAAGATTTCTTGGATTATGTCGAGCGGAAGCCGTCGAACTGGCGAAATGAGGGCCCTGTGGGCGTCCACGTAGGCACTAAGCCTGTTGCGCTCAGCTGCCAGTTTGTCCAGGGCCTTTTGTAACTCGGCGATTTCATCGTCGAGTCCCTTCAATTGGATAGTGGGTCCAACGAGAAGGGCTCGAATCTCCGCTATCTCCTCGTCCTTGGGACAATAATTGGTCCCTAGCTTGGAAGTGAACTGAGAAGACATGATGCATGCCGGTGAGGCAGTGCGCGGTACGATCACATGGTTTGATGGGAAACGTCGCGTGAGAACTCAAAGGGATAAAAACTGCACCCCAGCTCAAAACCATTCGAAATCGAAGCCGGGGAGCCATGCAGGATATATTTGCCAAGATTTCAGTCCCGGCTCGCCTCTCGAACGCATTATTAAACCAACACCTGATAAAATGTGCGAAATGAAGACGATGGACAGCGCGGGTACTGACATGGCAACTTGCCAACCTTGGACTAGAAATCCCTCCAAAAATGAAACAAGCGCTTTGCCGTAATTTGTTCGGGTCCTGTATTCATTGATCACCCAGTCATGAATTCGGAAAGTTCGTTCATGCCCATATCTTCATCCGTTACTGTAATAATATTTAGAAACAGGCAAAGCACCACAGGAGGACCAGGCGAATCAAGTACTATGAACAGATGTCTGCAGCTCTGGATGAATGACAAGCTCCATCTAGCGCCCAAGGCAGATTACGAGACGCGTCGCCCCAATTTGATGAAACGCAAAAGAGTACAAGTTCGTGACTGTTCGTCGCACTATGCACAGGCGCGGGTTATTTCTAGCACCTGGAGGGTTTCAAATGGAGAGTGTACAATTTACAACATTCGGGTTCAGGATTAAGGTTTGCGGGTACCTACGGGATTCGAGAGAAACCCCACAGCCAGTACAAGAGAAACTGAGGTTCGGCCAAAATATGTCTCGCCGCCCAGCCTACGTAGCGCGCAAAATAGTTGACAAGGATCCTGGAGTCAAAGTACCACTTGCAGGCCTTGAGATATGAAGTGTCAGATATTGTGGCGGTTGGACATGGCCGGCGACCATCTGTCTAATGAGTCGTAGGCAGATGAACTTACTAGCTCGTTTATTGAAACTTCCGTCTAGCCTGCGAGGTCCTTGAGACACCAGCAGGATTATCATGTTATTATGTGGTTTGAACTTCAGGGGTATGATTCCCGCAGGTACTTTGGGAGGTTCGTTGTAATATGGGCGGATTCCGGCGGTTGCCGAGGGCTCACATGCGCACTTCAACCCAGGTTGAATTTATTTCTCGGAATCCCGCCTCAGATAAAAATCTGTCTGGACTGGTAGGGATCCATCCGCTTACCGTCGGAGATCAATTGTACTTCTTTCTAATAGAAACTGCGTTCAGCTCGGGGAAGAGAAAATAGAAAATGATGGTTAATATCGTTTGCCATCGGATACCTCTCGAGTTTCTAGTTGGATCTTACAAAGGCGGGCAGATGGGTGAGCGGCACCCACAGATATTTGCTGCCACACACACCCGTCTCCGATGGGAGTCGGACATGCAGTTTCCATAAGTGACACCATCTGAAGCTTTTCACTATGCTCCAGTTCGGCGTTGGACTACTGGTCTGTCAAGTTGAACAGACAGACGTACATATAACCGACACGACAGATAATTATGTGCTTCTCAACAATCTGTTTGACACTAGACTCATCGCACAGCTCATGGTTTGATCATCCCTGGCGTCTCTTTGAGTGCTTATAACGAGGCAAAATAATCGTGCTCCTCCACGTTCGAGCTCCCTAGTAGCACCGCAGGTGAGGCTGCGTTTTCCCTGTCCTTGTGGATGCTCGCACTAATTCTTTCCCAGCAAATCCAGCTCAATACTCCCCACTCCAGTTACCCAGATACATCTCCAGGTGACTCTCGTCTTTCTCCTATCACTATCTAGCTCACCGCACCTTCGCTCCAGAGACATAAATATGCCTAGCACATCTTCATGCGGCAAGTGCGGCACCACTACTCCCAGCTTCAGTTCCTCCGGCTGGCAAGGCAGGTTTTCTTAGTGCACGCCGCTCCAAGCAGGGTTAATTGAGGTGACACTGGCCAGGTAAAACCTGCTCGTGCAAGCAGGAATGCTGTACCAAATGCAAATCGATCAAGAAGTTCGTCTATTCTTGTGTCAGTCATGCGAAGGGCCGGAAGTAGAGGGCAAATATACCTGCAGGAGGTTCTGTATTCTATTTAAACCGCAATGAGGTGACAGATCCAAGTGGAACATAGATTACCATGTCAGAGTGTCGGATTTAAGATGGCACTTGGAGCCCAATTTTTGGCGCACAGGAAGGTTTCAGCGACGTCAAGAAGTCCCATCTTGATAGTTTTCAAGCGAAAGTACGAGAATTAGCGCCGACAGCAAGTATTTCCCGGAAGCCCGAGTTGCCCATCAACGGAGCATAAGCTCGCTGTCCTGGGACATGCTAGGATTAGCTGTTCAACTCTGAGTCTCCTTGCAATTGGGGTCAGAAAACTTGAACCCTCGGCGTGAGAAGATTGTTGACGCAAATGGTGGACGGAGGCCGCGTGTTGAAAGAGCGCCTGAAATAGTTGGGTTGTTACCGTCGTCGTATCACTGCTCACTCCCAGGCGCAAAAAGACAGACGGTGGAAGCGAAGAGCAAGAGAGCCGGGCGTTTCCGGAACGTCACGTGTCGAGCCCCGGAACTTCAAAAATCAACCACAAGTCGAAATATTGACATCAAACGCGTCCGGGCGTGGCAGATGAGAAAAAATGAAAGAGTAAGTTTAGAGGCGGGGAGGGAGCCAAAAAAATAAGATAACGATGGAATGGCCTGGCCTTGAATTGAACTCCTACGAAAGAAAAACTCACATATCTATAGAAAGCAGGCGTGTACCCACTACACCACCAGGCCATTCCTGAGCTTTCCCGAATGGCAAACAGATGCGCAAATTTGAGCAGCGTACGACAGAAAAAACTCGGCTTATACACAAAGTATGGCCTGGCCTTGAGTCGAACAAGGGACTTCTGCCGAAATCGTCTGGATGGAGCCTCCACTGCAAGCAGATGTGTGACCACCACACCACCAGGCCGCTCTTATTCTCTCCCAAAAATGTGGGTCGTTGGGTCAGCGCATTGGATCAATGTCAATCGACATGACTACAAGACGGGACGGACGGAAGAATATCTACAGCTGAGATCAGTACATGTGAACATGAAAATCGTGGAGTAGAGGAGTCGAGGAGCGATAGAGGGAGTATGGGGAGACGGAGACTGAGCAGAAATGAAGGCGGATAGAATTTGGGTGCGCGATTGCAGATTGGAATTTTCGAAGTCGCGAGAGGACCGGTGACACGGATTGAGATTGAGCGCGAATAAGTTGTGGCGCTCAGGGGATGACGAGTTGCATATATGGCAAGTTGTATCTTGAATCAGGACAGAGAGACAGCATGTAGTCGAATACTTCGCTCGGAAAGAGACAGTGTGCAGGTGAATTCTTAAATCGGACAGAGATAGCGTGCGGTGCTGAGTATGAAGCGTTAGAGCCTTGGAGCCCTGGAGCGCGACAGCGAACCTGGAAGATAAGCACCGGATGTGGAGCGGAGCGAGGCTTCACGGATGATTCGCACGTTGAGTTCGAGTAATCCTCGGACGGTTGTTTGGTGTTCGCGAAGGCGGGGCCAGATGGAGAGTTCCGAGCGGTGGTTGAGGGTCTACTTGAAGCGCTCGACTCGGAGGAAATGGCACTTGGGGCTGCCAAAGCAAAGTTCCAAGGCAGCTCCCTGAGGTTTCCACATTCGCCAGACTCGGAATTGGGAGTCGGAGGCGCGGAATTCGCCACGCAACTGGTTGCTCTTGAATAAGTGACGACGGCCTGGTGCGTTCTTGAGATTGGGCGGCCGGAGTTGTCGAGCAATTGACTAGTGAGAGAGCAGATGACGGCTGGCGAGGGCGCTCTCTATCCGCAAGAAACAGCCTGAGGCCCAGACTGTCACTTAGTACTGTGGCCGCAAATCATTCGTTCGTTCGAAGTCTCGGACAGGAAGCACATCTAGACACCGAGGTGTGGCCCACGGCGTAAATGCAGACGTTGGAAGGCAAATCGTTGGGAGTATGACCTCATGTGCATGCCGGAGGTGGCAACCAGAAGAAAGAAAAGTTCTGCGAACAAGTGGCAGTGCCGCAGAGGCACAGCCACTGTGCTGGTCATTCTCGCTTCTTCCCATTGTTTCCTGCGCTCGAATCGATACGAGACTTTTCATCCATGTATCACCCCCGCAAGATACTATAGATGCAATAGCGCAGATTCAGATGTGCTTGGTCTCTCGGACCCGACCAGACTTGGCTCGCGCTTTCCCCTCGTTTGCAGGATGTTTTCCGGTGCAGAATCATGTCGGAAATTTCTAAAATTCGTTGCAAGGGGCGGTAAGGCCTTGTAAGGGCATAATAGGATCGGGAGCGATAGCACTCTTGTACAAACAAAGACTCGTGATAAGATCAGCGACCGTGATAAGATGGGAAGATCCGATAACAACAGCCTATCTTATCCGCTCTGATAAGCCGCGGTCATGTTATCAGACGGCACAGCCTTATCAGCACCTTATCACCCTGCGTCCGAATTACAGGCCTCTGTAAGAAGCTTCTATGTTATAAGACGGTTCTTGCTTGTAAGAGGTTGTAAGAGTTATTTTGTCATGTCAGGAGTTACAAGAGTGGGTCCATCTTATCAGAGTCGGGCCGATTATAAGACACTGCAAGGCGGCACCTTCTTATAGGCAGGTATGAGTCTACTCTTCTTATGATAAGGTTGGATCACATTATAAGATGAAAAAATACACCTTGCCCACTACCGGGTCTTACCCTGCTAACTTGTTGTTATCCCAGTCAATTTGTAGTGTATTTACTTGTGCATCTAATGTGTTACTTACGGTACCTGTCCACTAGTCCAATCTGTTACTTACTCAGTTGCCGACTAACCTTACAATTACTTACTGACGTTACTATTACTTACTTACTTACTGACTTTACTATTACTTAGTTACTTTTACTGACTGTTTATTAGATTGGCTTGTGACTTTAGATTTATTTGTGACTTACTTTGGGAATTGAACACTCGACCTCTTGCGAACGCTAAATATTGCAAAACTGATGATATAGACAGTTCAGCCATAGTGGCTTAAATGTAATAGTAACAGTGCTTACTCTAAGCACAATATTATGCCTATACCTAAACTTCCTTGACGAACAAACGACGTCAAGGACTCAAAAATTGAAACGCAAACTCGGGGTCAAGAAATTATTATACATGTTGTACCCTACATTTTTTTACGAGAACGCCGGGTACGGGGAGGACTGGCTTCTGTATCAGCTACGGTTTCGTCCGCTACGGTTTCGTCCGCCGCGATGGCCTTAGACTTCGACTTGGCCTTACTCAATGCGTCCCTGCCTGACTTTGCATTGACCCGACTTGAGAGAGCCTTGACAGGTGAATCGTCCTCACTGCCATCGGGTGATGTGAGTTCTGAGCTGGAGGAGGTGGGCTTTGTGAATTGCACCCGGCGTTGACCTGAGGCAGGACGTCGAATAGGTACACTGGCAGACAGCGACTCGTCCAAGCTCTCCAAATCCCCGCCATCGCCGTCATTGGCAGGAGCTGGTTGGTCCACAGCTTGACCCGTGGGTCGAGCAACAGGCCTAGCAACGGGTCGAGTAGCGGGTGGAGCCTCCGGAACTGGGCGTGGGGGTGAAGCTGGAGCTAGTTCCTCTGTGCGGTTGATTAATGAAGCCCCGATGTGTTGCAGAAATTACTCACCCTCAGTCTCATCACCAAACTGAAACCCCTCAACCGCATCCTCTTCAATATCCATACCCTCCAGCGCATCTGCCATCTCTTCGTCGGAGTCTGCCTCAGCAGTTGGGTCTGCATCGACAGGCCCTGGGATTGTAACGCCGTGGAATACAATCTTCTGCCAAAACTTTATAATGCGACTGTACCCAGGGGAACCTGCCTTCATCTTCAGCGCTCGCAAAAATCTCATGAAGATTTGGCGAAAAGATATTTTGGAGGTACTCCCGACTTCATCAAAATCTTCGACTTTACCGCTTTGGGTCAGCCAGTAAATGACGAAGATGCACTAGATATGGGGACTAAGACATAGCTCTGAAAAATTCAGGACACTTACGATGGTGCATGCAAACGCCATAGAACCCTCCGTAACAGCTTTTACGTTCCACATAATCCCCACCAGGGAGCCGACCGGCTTTTGTTTGCCATTGTCGCCAAGACTGGCTTTGCCGAAAAGAATGGCGCGCAAGACCTTAAAGTTGGCTTCAGTAAATCCTGCGTCACTCAAGACAGGGTTTCTCTTACCAAAGGGGGGATCCTATTCATGAAGAGTGCCGTTGGATTTGACTTCAGTTCGGCGTAGATTATGGGAGGAAATTTTGCGATTTTGAGAACCTTGGGGTCATCCCCAGCGAACAAAAGGAGTCGCTGATACTGCACAGCTTCTGCAGAAGCAATAACCTTCCCTTGAAGCAGAATGTTAGGAAGACATTCTTTTATTCTTATGATCGCTTGGGATCTCTGGGCGTTCACGTTGTGAATAAACTGAGGAAAGATCAATCATTCCGTATAAAACTAGGATAGGAAGAGAAACTTACGTTGAAACCAAAGTCGCTATATTCAGTTGCGTCGACCAAATGATGAAATTTCCCTGGGACCCAATCGTAGAGCGAGGCCGTGAGGTATTGAAAATAAAGGGCTGAATCCGGTTTGAAAATATCCTTTGGTTGGGCTAGGGGAGTAGCGACCTGCTTGTCGAAAATGGCAATCCCAGTCCACGGGTCAACCATGGTTGAAAAGCTTTTGCCTAGCACAATGATTTTGGAGAAATAGCCGTCGCGGTCTTCACCTCTAAGGCTCCCTTTGGATTCTTTGGCTTTACGCCCCGGTTTACTGGCCTCGTACTTGGCTACTTGAGCTCGTAGCTCTTTGTTTTCATTTAGAACTTTATTGACGAATCTCTGTTGATTTTTTAGAGCCTTATGAAGCACCTGTTAGTACAGAATCTGAGGATTTCAGAGCACTGGGGAACTTGCCTCTCGTAGCTCTTCTATTGTAGCATTTTGATCGGGTATCTTGAAAATGCGGGTGACCTCCTCTGCTGCGTCTGAATTGCGGTCGCTCATCATGGAGGGGTTGTTCTGGACGGAAGGAAGAGAAGAGGAAAGAACTTGAGAGAGAGAAGAGAAGACGATGGCGACCAAAGATGGCGACCAAAAAACCGAGGATCATTATTCCGTCCTGCAACCAAGTTAATCAGGCAGGCAGGCTTTCACGTTATTTACCGGTGAGAAACAATTTGGGCCCATAATTACCTGGGCTTGACGGTTTCGAGCGCTATTAGCTGAACATACCCAAGCCTTGGGTTTGAATGAAAATTTTGACGATTATTGGACTTGAAATATGACAAGGATTCAGAGGTCATACGAAAAGTATGCAAGTAATCAAGAAATTTATTATACTACAGTTTTCACCTCCGAGTCCCTGGAGATGCCCTTCTGAACGCCCCTAAGAATCCTAAGAACCCTAAAACGGGCAATTACCCTTTTTGGCCAGGCGGCAGCCGGCGTCGGGGTGCGGTGGGAGCGCAGTGAGGAGGGTTTGGGGCTCAGGCACGTCAGCTGGGATGAGAAAGGCCTGGGGATAATAGTAGGAGCCGACGGAAAGCTTGAACCTCTGGTTAGCCTCTATCCACGTAACATGGGTATTGTGAGGCAGGCTCTCAACGGCACTACTGAGGATTATAATTTAGAAACTCCGAAGAAAGGTGTCGTATTTCTTACCTGGACAGGCTAACTCTGAAGGGTAATCCAGTATAGCTGCTTAGCAGCTTCTTGTGGGCGTCCAATAATTGAATATAGATCGCGGGCAGTGTTTTGAAATCGCAACGTGGTTCTTTGACGAGGGAAATGAGGCAGCCATAGGTAGAGTTCTGGGCCTTCACAAGGTCTTTATGGGAAGCTGTGCGCAATTGGATAAGCTTGAGGGATTATCGTCAGATCGCAATTAAAGAAAGTAAATAGAATG